GATGAATTAAAAAACTGGAAACTTTGTCAAAAACTTTGCAACGAGGGAGAGCTGTGCATAAGTAATTAGGCAATCGTGTTGGGGTTCAATTCAGTATGTAAACAGATGCACTGTAGTGAGACAGGAAGAAATACAGCAATAGTCGTAATTGAAATTTTAGATAAAAATTCAAGATTCACAGAAGCAACATAGCTCTGAAAATTTGACCGGTTTTCTGAAACCTGTCATCCACGCCTGCTAGTCTCTTTTGATCAAATGCAACGACCATTGAAAAGCGGAAAATTTGTGTTCAAAAGTTTTGTTTGTTCCCTTGCTCAATGTTCCGTTAGTCAATCGTCAAGAGTGGCTTCCGAGTAACGTTGATGATCGACATAAAGTTACGCATTCGTCTTTCGACTTTCTCACCTGCCGAACTTAAATCGAGAATTAAAGGCTCTTGCGCAACTGGCAAGCTTTGCGACTTTAATTTAAAGAACCGGTCTATAATAGTACTGCATGAAAATACAAAACATAGTCAATTTCTCAAGACAACATGATATAGAAATATGAAATATATGAATTATGAATTAAGTATGAATATATGAAATACAACACCCGCTAAGCATGACGGTTGCTCAAGAGTCTTTAAGTGAATGCGAAGTGCGACGTTTAAATCAGATAGGCACGGCTAATTTAATTAAGGGCGGCAGAAAAATTTGCGCTTGGCAGAACTTGGCGAGCTACGCAAGTAAAGCGCAACTGGGCTTTTCATGTACCGAACTCAATGCATAATTTATTTTATATCCCAGAAATCACTTTTCTGGCAAATCATGCCTATAACTGAATTTCGGCGCGAATCAACCTGGAATCAATAAAGCCAAGATGGCGTCTGCATATGAGAAGTTGTGTTGTGTTTCCTCTCTTGCCACCAAGTATCATTTTCCAGACGATATTCAACCAACACTGGTTGCGTTGAAGTCTTCCGCATGTCCTCTTTGCCTCCATTATTGGGCTGCTGTCGAGAGCAAGACAACAAGTAGCACCACTAAAACTCTCCTTCTTCTTTGCTTCACTATAATCTTCAATCTTGCCTCTGCCAATCTTCAATTCTTTCTGGATTCCATCAGCAATCTCCTCACAAATGTAAAACGCATGTTTTCGGGCCATATTAAATGTCCGCAATCAAATCTGAAATCCATAAACTTAAGCCCGGCGAGCGGAACAATGAAGATCGACGTTTGCAACGGGAGTGGCACCAAAGAATTAGTTCGGCATAGAAGAAGTTTGACGTTTGGGACGGGCCTATCAGATAGCTAAATAATTGGATATCTCATGGCCATTGAATTGCATCCGGACATAGTACATTCAATAGAATTGGCAGCTCTGTTAAAAACGATCAAATGTCCGTGCAAGAATTCCTACCGACGAACATATGAAAAAGTCTGGCATAAAGGCATTTATTTAATCGGTATGTTACTGAAGTGTATCCGTGAATAATCAGATGTAGCTAGTTAAAGGGTGTGAGGAATGAAAGCTATGTGGACTGTCACATCTGAATGAATTGCTTCACATCTAACATCTTTGAAATACCATTAGGATAAAGAAAGATAATGGACCTTTCTCATTCATGAAAGGAAAGATTTCACGAAGAACACTTTCAGTCCAGAAAGAACCGTCTATGAATACAACTTTGGAAATCAAATCAAGGTTCAGGTTATTGATAAAAAGCACATTGAATTTTGATCTAGGAAGATATCACGTTTTGTAGAAGTTCCAATAATAAGTCACCAAAGTGATACAAATATTAAGAGTTTTTGCTTCATATAAATATCTCGTTTACTTTGCAGAAAATGCCAACAAGAAAATATGTTTTCCTGACACGTTGTCTACTTGTGCTTACTTTGAGCCAAGTAATCCACGGAGAGGATAATCGAGGCTCAGCAATGTTCGAAGTTATTCACAACCCATATATGGAACTGACCAGCATGTTTCATAAATCGTTTCATCAATGTAGTAAAAGTAGTCCGTGCAATTTTGTGGTGAAGGATATGACAACAAACAAGTATGAAACACACAATAAGGAAGGAGATATAACTCAAGACCGGAGAAAGCTGATAATATGGAAAAGAAAAAGTATTTTCAATTTTCATACAGTAAAGTTTTAGTTAACCTCTTCTGAAACATAATATAAGGATTGATATTACTCAAGAAGCATATAACCCAGTTTGGTTTTAATATTTATTAATAGCAAAGTGATAGGGTTTTTCAATAATAAAAATTGTGGACTCTAGGGCTTTCTTAGTTGCCTAGAATTCTCCTATGGAATTTTTCAGGATTTTCAAGAGTATAAAGTTTATCCCTGGCTTTAAAGATTTTAATTTATAATTGGCTGTTTATATATCAATGTTTTTAATTTGATAATTGAAATAATAACAAAATAATCCATGTTCTGCTTGTTAAGAAAGGATTATTCACTACAATTCGCTTTAAATACATTGAAGTGCGAAGCCATTCAAAAAAAATCGTTTTTCCTTGCATTTTGAGATTTTAATGCATTCTATACAATTCACTAATGATTTTATTTTCTTCTTGAATTTCTACTTAAAGGAAAGTATTCATGTCTTGATTGGCGATACGACTCTGCAATGATTAATGGGATATACAGAATATCAGATGATGACGGAGTTGAATTCAACGTTTACTGCGATTTCATATCAGAGCCAAACTCAGTATGGACCCTGATCGAATCGTTCTCTTTGGGTAAAAATCATCTGTTCAAAGACTGGCCATTCACAATTGATTTTCCGTACTTGGAAGATTCTCCAAACTGGGACAATTACAGGTTAGGTCTTCTTACAGTTGCATGCTTTAAATTTCAATGAAAGTGTTGTGCAAGGGAATACTTTTTCATCCTTTAGACTACGACTGAGGGGAGGCACTAAGTGGTCTTTTTAGAAGTTCATGTAATTACCTATATTACATCCTCAAAAATTTTAAAGAGCTTCGTCTGACTATGTAAAGGGAGTACCAAGTATTTTGATCGATATTCTTTTTATGAGTGAATTCGTGAAACAAACTTTTCTTCAGACATTCTAATAGAGGAGATTTCGAAGATATGTTATGCAATGATCAAGCAACTTTCGACAGCTCAACCACCAATAAAGATATTTCTTTGAAAAAGTGATAAATGTATATTAAGATATGGATTTGTGTGATCTGAATTTTCAGCAACTTTCAAATCCATTTTTTCTATAGTTCTAACAAAAGTAAGAGAGGGTGTCTCTACCGTATTTTAGCGCAGCTGAAACAATCATCAAACTTTTTAATTTTTTGTTTTACACCTTTCTAGACTCAGCAAGACAAGGATGGAGAAAATCAAGTCAACATCAACCCACTGGAGAGCAACATGCAGTTTCGATATTTTTGGTATTGATTATCGAGATTATGCCAGATTCAAACTCTCTGCATTTGATCCTCTTTGCTGTTACGTAAATGCATCGCCTAAGCTTGTTGAGTTGGTAAATATTAGAGGGCACATCGCTAAAGATCAATTAGTTAATTTTTGGCAACATGAAAATTCACATCTTCACATTGACTCTCAAGAAAATACCAATTTTTTGCAAGGATCCGTTTATACTGAAGATAATTTTGGATTCTATTTTGGCATAAACTCAGCATTTAGGTGCACTGCCAATGCCAGCAGCACTACTCAACATTGGATAGGAATATACTACCCTTGATTCAATATTTGATGATTATTTTTACATTGAGAATTTTGAGGACCTAGCCAAAAAATTATAATTGGGGCTCCCATATCGACATAAGTACTTCATAATTACGCCACCGTAAACAATTTTTATAAAAGATCAAAACAAGCGAGTGGATTGTATTAACCTTATAAAAAAATATCTTGCGATTAAATGAGTAAACTGTTTAAATTGCCCTGCATTTCGTCATAATTCAATTCTTGAAAGTAGTTGCTCAGCTATAGGCTGCTTTCTTTTCTTTGCAGAAGCAAAGGATCCCTTCTTATGCTTTTGGCCTCAATTAGCCATTAGAAATAGCTCTTAACACAACCTTGCTCTATTTTAGAGATAAAATTGATGTTTGCTTTCTTTGACGAAGAGAAGCTTCTTTCACCTGTAGCCACTTCACATAGCATGGTAAGCTGTCAAGAAATATTGCAGCAGTATGTCACTCAAAGATATGTTCCAATAAGAATTCAGTGATAGGCTTGTTTTTCCAAAGTAATGTTTGTTCCTCTTCTCTCTTCACATTCATTTTCCTTTCTTAACACAGCTTGTTCTTTGCTAATTCTTTTCTTTATAATCCAACGATATCTGCAAGCTAAGGGGAAGCATACACTTTTTTTACCTGTCATAATGAATAAAACAATGCATCAATTTGGTTGCAGCAATCAGCTGCTGCTGTGTTATTTTTGTGAATGTACGAATGAGCGACACATGTGGCGTAGGGTGCACATTTGCTAATTTCTTTAATTCCCAGGACATATGATAAAAATTGCCATATGATTGTCCTGAAGTGATGAAGTAATGTAATTATGCATACAGATGTGCCAGAAGTAAATATCGTTTGTTCGAAAATTAGATTTTGATGATCTGTCATAAATTCTTGCCGAGAAAATCTGACCATTCCAGAAATTTTGGGGCGCAGTGATCTCTTTGGTGCATTTTGTTGCATATTAAAAGAAAATTCATGTGAATTCTGCACTTTCATTTTAAGCTGCATTTGGTTTATTTTTAATGATTCATCTTATTGTTATTGCAGCTATTGTTACATTATCTTTTCAAACAAAATCATTATAGTAAACTACAAATGCAGAGACTTGATGAATTCACCTTTGGAATAAACGTAGACGTGTTAAGTTACTTATTGAACATCTTACTGTACAATAGTAAAACTGTAAAATGGTATAGATATCATCACACATTGTCAACTTATATCTTTTTTCTAGCTTTAAGTCTTCAAATTAGATATTAGTTGCTAAAGAGCTTACTTAGTCTATATCTGCTACAAGAACCCAATATGCGACTGCTAAATTTTTAATATAAACGTTTCCTCTGCAGTGTAGTAGAGTAAGTCCCAGGCCCCCTGGGCAAGGCGTAGACACTATGTAAACACGTGTGTGAATATAGATGAATTTGCTTGCTGTACGAAGTCTCATGTCTTGCCTTGGCCTTCCACCTCATTATACGTAAATATTATATTGGCGACAAGTGAAAATAAAAGGAAACCAGTGCACCAGTATGTCGCACACCGTTTCACTACAACCTGTTCCCAAATTTAATCCCGATAGCGGAAAGGTTGGCGCAAGTATCACGATTTCGTTGAAAAAATGGATTTCCGATTTTGGAACATTTACTGTTGCCACAGGCATCACCGATAACACTCGTAAACGAGAGCTGTTGTTATACCAAGCTGGCCCCCGACGAGATTTTTGATCAGCTCGAAAACACCGGTGAAGCAACGACTACAGCCAAAGATAAACTTACTGCCTATTTTTGACCGCAGAGAAATCGTCGATATGACGTGTACTGTTTTCGAAAGGCACATCAAGAGCCTACTGACACATTGGACTAGTATCACACTAGGTTGCGAACACTGGCTTTACCTTGTGAGTTTGGTGACTATCTAAAATTTGAGCTGGAATAGCAAATCATCATTGGGGGAACTTCCTCTTGCCTTAGGAAGCAGGCCCTGCGAGACCCCACATACGACTTGAAATAATGACAGAAGGACATAGCTGATCGATGACAGAAGGGATGAAATAAGTCGATTTCAGTCGAAAGAAATTGAATCTCAGAAAATCGAGCCTCTTTCAGCCGAAACAAAGCAAGTTGTGGCAAAACCGACCCACAAATGTCGAAACTGTGGACGGGCATCTCACCCCCAAGACACTGTTTGCCCCGCAAAAGGGAAGGAATGCAGAAAATGTGTGTCGTTATAGTGCAAAAAGCCAGCAAAATTTCAAGACCAGATACAGACAAAAAAGGGAAACAAAACTGTGCACCCACTTAATAATTCTGAATCTGAGTCAGATGATGAATACTTGTATGCAGTAAACAATACAAGCAAGGCTAGGCCCTACGGAAGAGCAAGAGTCCTTGGATATACCTTTGACGCCATGAATCAAGGATTAATTTAAGGTGCAGTGATGACCAATTTTTTGCAGTGATGAATCGAAAATGTGCAGTGATGAATTGAAAAATGTGCAGTGATGAATTACTTCACTTTTGAAATACTCCAAATTTTACTCATTTGGATGTTTTCAGAATAAAGATAAATGAATACAAACTATAATCAAGAGTCAAATAAGATAATAGAATCAACCTACGTGTGAAACTCAACTAAGGCCAGCCTTAACAATAAAAATAATATACAGTTATTCACAAACCCACTTCATAATGTAAAAAGTGTTTTTAAGAAAATAGAAATAATACAGGAAAAGAAATAGATAAAGAGAATATATCCTGTTATTGCCAAGATTCCAAGGAATGAGCCGAGGTCTGTGGGGTCATATAATAAGCATGCCTTGAAAAAAACAAAATGTTTAAAATGATTGCAAGAAAATAACTGCTAGAAATATTCTGAAATATATTTTGAGATAATCTAAGGGGTGTGGTCAAAAAATTTTCTGCTCGCTCCGCTCGCAGGTAAGCTTCCACTGTCGGATAATCCTAGGGCCTCCGACAACTTTGGATTTCTTGCATTGCATGGCCAAAAAGACCCAGTGTCACTACCACCTTCAAATGGCGGCCTGCTTCTTTTCTTTTGTATAAAATACAATACCACAATTTCCACCACTCACAAATAAATACTATATTGACTCCATAGGGTGGAAATGAAGAAAAAATTACCTGTTATTAGGTTTGCTACTCTGTTTTCTTTTGGCCAGGTTTGATCTGTTCTGTAGCCACACCCTTTGCCACACCCTATTGGCCCCGAAAATCTGTGTTTTACGCTGTTTTGTGCAGTGATGAAAATTCCTTAAATTAATGCCTGGCCATGATCGATACCGGAGCGTCCATTAACGTCATAGACAAAGCTATATTTGCAAAATTACCAGAAATCAAGCTGGAAAATACGAAAACCCGTGCATTTGCCTAAAATACTGAACAACCCGTTAAATTCATAGGCAAATTCAATGCGGTAGTGGAAACAAAGAAGCGGTAGGCAGCCAAGACCTTCTACCTTGTCAATAACAACAAGTCGGGTAATCTCATTAGTGGAGATACAGCACAAGAATTAGGTCTTGTTACGTTCCATTTAAATAAAACGTCAACAAATAAAACGCCTTCATCACCCGTGACTGATGATGGAAAGCTGATTAAACTTCTTGCAAAACATTCTTCTGTGTTAAAAGGACTAGGAAAATTGAAAGGCGCCATTGTCAAGCTGAACATTGATGATAACGTTGTTCGAGTTGCGGAGCCGCAGAGGCGCATTCTGTTCCATATTCGTGAAAAAGTCAAGCGTGCCATTGAAAAGCTGGAGAAGGGTGACATAATCGAAAGGGCTCCAGAAACCCAACCTACGCCATGGATTAGCCCGATAGTTGCAGTATCAAAGAAAGGTGATGACGTGCGCATATGTGTAGATATGAGAAAGCCAAATCAAGCGATCAAGAGAACCAGGCATCTCATTCCTACAGTAGATGATATTAGTCGAAAGTTAACTGGAGCAACAGTGTTTTCAAAACTTGACATGTCTCAGGCATATCATCAGCCTCAATTCCACGAAAACAGTCGCTACATTACAACATTAAGTACACACATAGGCCTGTTTTGGTACAAAAGACTAAACTATGGCACAAACGCACCTGCAGAGATCTTCTAACATGCCTTGCAAACGGCCTTACAAAGAATTAAAGGGTTCACAATATAGCAGATGACATTATTTTCTTGGGAGTAGACCGTCAAGATCACGATAGAGCACTCAATGACTGCCTGTAGAAACTATCAAATAAAGGTCTCACTCAGAATGCAACTAAATGCAAGTTTTTATCGAAATCTTTGTCCTTCTTTGGACAGATTTTTTCAGCTGCTGGTACAAGACCAGATCCAAAGCATATTAAAGACCTGCAAGGTGTAAAAGTACCAACAAACGTGCATGAAGTGCGAAGTTTTGTATTAATGGCGAACTACAATTGTAAATATATTCAAGAATACGCAACTACCAGTGCTCCATTTAAAGAACTAACAAAGAAAAATTCACATTTTCAGCGGAAAGCTGAACACCAAAAGGCGTTTAAAAAGTTAAAGAATGCTCTGACATCAGTTCCAGTAATGGCCTATTTCGATACCACAAAGGACACTATAATGACTGTAGATGCCAGTCCTGTTGACATATCAGCTATTCTTGCTCAGAAAGAATCAGCAAGTGATGATTGTCGTGTTGTTGCATATGCAAGCCGAGCATTATCTTCTGTGGAAAAAAGATATTCACAAACTGAGAAAGAGGCATTGAGCATCGTCTGGGCGGTAGAGCATTTTCATTTGTTTATTTATGGAAAGCCATTTCAACTGATCACAGATCACAAACCATTGGAAATCATATATGGTAGCCCCAAATCAAAGCCATCTGCTCGCATTGAACGATGGGTCTTGCGCCTTCAGCCTTACAGATTTACAGTGCAGTATAAGCCAGGTGTAGACAACCCTGCAGACTACCTTTCCCGCCATCGAACAAAAGAAAGTACATACAAACAAGAGGAGATGACGGAACCCTACATCGCCATGTTGACCAATGCAGCAGTTCCAAAAACGATGACAATTACAGAGATAAAAAGCGCTACTGACAGTGATAGGACTCTGCAAGCTCTACGTGCTGCTATCAGACTAAACCGATGGGACTGTGATGCAATCAAGTCATTTAAAGCGATTAAAGATGAGCTCACCATCGGAGCTTATAACATAGTTTTGCGTGGAACCACAATTGTCATTCCAGGATCACTTCAAAAGAAAGCAATAGACCTTGCACATACCACTCATCAAGACCTATCCAAGACCAAATCATTGCTCTGTGAAAAAGTTTGGTTTCCAGATATTGATAAGCTGGTAAAAGAAACAATCTATCATTGTTTACCTTGTCAAGCTACTGGAAGACCAAACCCACCAGAGCCTTTACAGATGACTGAAGTGCCACAAAGCCCATGGCAGAAACCTCATGTAGATTTCCACGGACCATTGCCATCTGGAGAGTATTTGCTTGTTGTTGTAGACAGATACTCGCGATATCCTGAAGTAGACATTGTGCGATCCATAAAAGCTTCAACCGTTATACCAAAGCTGGACAAGATCTTCGCTACTAATGGTATACCAGAAACACTCACATCTGACAATGGCCCACCCTTTTATTAAGCTTTTATTTAGCGACTTAAAACCAAGCGACTTAAAAATTGGAGACCATGTACTTGTGAAACAAGACCGACGAAAAAAATGTCGTCAACATACAATGAGACTCCATACGTTGTAACTGCCAGAACAAATTCACGTGTAACAGCTAAGAACAAACATGATCATAAGATTACACGTAACATCTCACATTACAAACATATACCAAAATCAACAGAGATTGACAACGATGACGACATATCTTACAGTGACAAAAAGAATCAAGTTGACAAAGACAAGACAGAGGAATGTGAACAGCCCTTAAGACGATCTAACAGAATTGTCAGAGCACCACAACGGTTTCCACATTCATTATCTTCGAACATTTTTAAGAAAAAAAAGCTAAGAAATTGAATTAAAAAAAAGGAGAAGCAATGTAGTAGAGTAGGTCTCAGGCCCCCTGTAGACACCATGTAAACACGTGTGTGAATATGGATGAGTTTGCTTGCTGTATGATTGTAAAGAGCTTGAGTTCTAAATATTTCAGATTTGAAAGTTTTTCTCAATAGGGGATCCAGAGTTGAATCTGACTACTTTAAAAAAAAGAAGATAAAAAAACAAACAAATGCGGGGTCTAAGAGTGTGGTCGCAAAAATGCCTTTTTCAAATGTGTAAGAGCCACTGAGAAATACTACGGCGTCTTCAAATTGCGTCACAAAGATTTTCTGAATGGCATAGAATCAAATATTTTCGATAGCAATTGACACGATAAATAACACTTGCTTGATAGTTATGTCTTCAAAAGAGTTATTATTCAATTGTTTAAGTATCATTAGTATCTAACTTTTTTTAAAATAAATTGAATGCAATAAGCTCAACCAATAATAGTTCATCAGTATCACTAAGGCCTCTCGTCTAAATCATTGCTAGAACTTCTTACATCATCACCAGACAAAGTAATTTCATCTCAGTTACAATGCGTGACGTGTGAAATATGATCCAAAATAAATATGGCTATTTTGAAATTTTTTCTATAGACGCAGATAAATGTTTGGTATAAAATTGAATTTTGTGAGAAAAAGCTGAAAATTGAAATCCTTGCGAAATTTTGAAGATTTGGTGCATGGTATTAAAAAGCATGAACTTGAAGTTATTGTGCCAAAAAACTGATAGTTGTACCATATTACCGATGAAATGCAAAAGGGACACACTGTGGGGCATCTAAAGTCCCTAGATCCAAAGCAACTAACAAATTATGTCTTCTTTGATCACAAATGAACCTCAATGAAATGACAAAACTTTTAATAAATCTAATATTAGGGCTTAAGGCTCTAATATTAACGAAAAAGCCGTCATTGTGTAGACAGAAGGCACGCAGCACTGATTGGTCAACTATACCGGTCTTGTGCTTGCGTTTTTCTGATTGGCCTTTTTTGATCCACAACTGAATATATATTTTTCACCGTCTTCTTTCGAACCCTTATTCTGACGTTTTTTGCTCTGAAGAGTGTCAAACAAAAAAGCTTTTAGCCAATTTGTTGTAAAATGTTTGCTTTTTCAAAGCTATTTTCAAGTTCTGTACGGGCAAAAAATTATTCACATTAATGCTTTTGTACAAATACATTATTCTATTGACCCCATGAACTGTTTCATGTCTGAGACAATGCTTTCTTTAGAGAGAGAGAGTTTTTTGTGCCAAGGAAGCGTGAATAGAATGCGCTCGATAAATATACTTTAAACTTAACAATATTATCACATACATCTTTAATTGTGATTACAGCAAAAAAACCTCCTTTCGTCTTTATTTTTGCTACAGGAGAAAGTTTAACCATATTTCAAAGGTTGTTGCGGATACAAAACAAAGATTAGGTAAAGAATCAAAATATATCAATAAAAGTAAATAAAATAGGTTAATAAGTAAATAAGTAAATAAGTAAATAAGTAAATAAGTAAATAAGTAAATAAGTAAATAAGTAAATAAGTGAATAAGTAAGTAAGTAAATAAGTGAATAAGTAAATAAGTAAAAAAGTAAATAAGTAAATAAGTAAATAAGTAAATAAGTAAATAAGTAAATAAGTAAATAAGTAAATAAGTAAATAAGTAAATAACTAAATAAGTAAATAAGTAAATAACTAAATAAGTAAATAACTAAATAAGTAAACAAGTAAATAAGTAAATAAGTAAATAAGTAAATAAGTAAAAAAGTAAATAAGTTAATGATTAAAAGTTAATAAGTAACTAAGTTAATAAGTAAATAAGTAAAATAAATAACAAGTAAATAGGTAAATATATAAATTAGTAAATAAGTAGATAAGTAAAAAAGTAAATCAGTATATCAGTAAATAAGTAAATAAGCAAATAAGTGAAAAAGTAAATAAGTAAAATAAGTAAATAAAATAAA